TTGCTTTGTATGATTATCAAGCTAACGATGACGATGAAATATCCTTTGATCCTGATGACATTATTACGCATATTGAAATGGTAAGTGAAAAGAGAGAATAGAAATTTTAGATAGAGATTGTTGAAGGCGTAGTATATAAGGAAGAAATTGTAAAAAGGTCGTTTTTAGAAATCGTATTATAATTGCAATTTTAGGTTCTTTAGGACTTTAGTTTTTCAAGCTGCATTACTAGTGCAAAGTCCTCCAGGCTGAGATGTCAGCCATAAAAAGAAAGGTTAACTGTATGAGGTACTATAAGATATACCGGTGAAATTAGATATTTCTCTTTAGTGTCTACACGACATCTAGACTGATTCATGAATGTTTGATATTTTCAACGAGATTGCGCAGCATTTGAACCTTTAGTTGCTCCGGATGCCGGGTCATTCTGATATACTTGCCAATGTAATGCCACGATAGTAGAGATATTGACAATCTCTCGCTTTCGTGCTGCTAAATATATATACAACAGGAACACTTTATAGATCTGCTCAGACCAGATGGACATGCTCTTAAAGCATCGTCAGACTTGATGGGTCTTTCAAGAACATGGACTTCTGACAAATACATATGTATACAGAAGGAACACCATATCGATCTGCGCAGATCAGATGGACATCCTCTCAAAGAATCGTCTTTCAGAAACGTAGACTTTTTGTAGAAGTAATATAAACATTTTCTGTGCTTGTTTCCTGCTTTGTCAGTAATCAGATTTGCCACTATGTGCGTTCCTCTTTAACGGTGCGTTTGCCATGACTCTCGCCATAGAAACTTAATTTGTCTTCATGGGTCGTGGTAGGATCCGTTTCGGATATTTCAAAGGGACCCTAGTGCGTCGGCCTTCCATTGGCTGGCTGCCTCTTTAACCTAAAATGGTTAATATCAAAATTTCGAAAATTCTTTAAAAAACTATTAAAATTATTATCTGCCCAATATTCGAGCCCAATATTTTAAATTTTCGGGTTTCGAACATAAATAATTATTTAAAAACTTTTCATGAATTATGAAGTATTTTCGATGTAATTTCGGAATATGAGCTTTTTAAAAGATGTTCGAAAATTCGAACTTATGTTCGAAAAAATTTTAAGGTAGTAAAATAATCTGTAGGTTATAAGGATTCATAAAAAGACAATTTTAGTTTCACTCGAGTCCAATTTTTTAATATTTCAAGTTTCGAACATAAATATTTCAAAAATAATTTAAAAAATGTTCATGATTTATAAAGTATGATCAATGTAGTTTCAGAATATGTATAGATGTTCGAAAATTCGAACTTATGTTCGAAAAAAACACAATTTTTGTTTCATTCTAATAGATTTTTTTTTAAATTTTCGAGTTTCGAACATAAATATTTCGAAAGTATGTACTTATAAAAATGTTCATGATTTATAAATGATGTTCAATATAGAATGTCGACTTTTTATAGATATTCGAAAATTCAAAAATTTTGTTCGAAAAATTTTTAAAGCTATAATTTATAGAACATAAGGATTCATTAAAATACAATTTTAGTTTTAGTTGAGCCAAATTTCTAAAATTTTCGAGTTTCGAACTTAAATATTTGGAAAATAATTTAAAAACAATTCATATGAATTATAAATTTTTTTCATAACTTCTTTCATTTCTCTTACAGATCGATGAAGGCTGGTGGCGTGGTTATGTAAAAATCGTTATGGTCTCTTCCCGGCCAATTATGTGCAAGTTATTAATAATCAAAATTGAGTTCTTATAGCTGAGCATGATGACCTTCAATCCCAACTACAATAACAGCTATTGAAGTTTTATCTAAATCAAAATTTTGTTTAAGTATTTTATTTTCTTATTTTACTTTTCTAAACAACGATGATACTGATTTTCTTTTTTCTGTCCACAAATCAAGTCAATTTACATATTTAATGTATGGAGGTATTAAACATTCTTATTTGTATGTTTCAAACATATGTATTTTTTTACAAATATTTTATTTTTTTTATATTTAAAATTTTTTTTTTAAATGCATTTTTGTCTACATTTCATTTAAACTAAATTAAGCATTTAACACTTAAAAACTAATATTGTTATTATAAAATCATTACAAACTAAAAAAATCATGTTTAAAGACAAGGCATACGTACATATACTACAAAATTGTGTCAAAAAAGTCAATAATTTAACGAAAATCTAAACAAAAATTATAAAGAAATTATGCAGACTGTATTAAAAAGTTTTACTAAATAAAAGTTGAACCTTATTAAAAAAAACTACCCCAACTTAATGATTAATTACTTTTTTCAATTTAGTTGTTGAAATTAAACAATAAACGTGAGTTCAAAACTCTTTTGAAATATTCTTTTTATACATGTCTAAATACTATAATATATAATTTTAGATAATGTCTACTAAATATTAATAATTTGCTTTAGTTACTTACAAAAATTTGCAAGTTTGAGTGTCAGGGGTATTAAGATAAGATGTGCGTGCTTGTCTGAACGCTACCGGCAAATGACAAAACGAACAAAAAAAAAAAAAACATACCGACATTTCACAATCATGTCAAATTTTGTGCTACAATCATTTGAAAATTCTGTTTCTAGCTTGTAAAAAATCTTTTTGTTTGAAATGTGAACATTTTAATCGTTGGTGTATTAAATGCCTCAACTAAAAAAACCCAACCTCTTGTTTGTTGTCTATAAAATGTTTGGGTTTTTTTTCGAATACAAATCTTTAAATTTAAATGTATGTTGAACTTTTTTTAGCACAAGGTTCTTTAGTACCTAAAAACCTAAGTTTGCTGCCAAAAATTGTATTCAGGCAAAATTCAGAACATGTGTTAAACAATGTAATTTGGTTAATTAGTTATAAGAAGTTAAAATGAAGGCTTAGGAACCTTTTTCAACCATGATTGCACTTATCCTTATGTCACACATTCAGATCGTAATGCTTTCAATTCCATAGGTTTTGTTAAATTTGAAATATATTTAACTGAATTGATTCTAGGGCGTTCGAATATCGAACAGAAATATACTAAGCTTCACCGAAAGTCGAGCTATAAACAAGTCATAGGTGTATTCTCCATATCACACCTAATCCAGGAATGTCGGTCATCCTTAAATAGGATTGGGATACATTCAAACATCGTACTCGTATGGGTACGAGAACACGGATCCTACAGGCAACTGTGTCGCTAACAAACTCGCGAAAATAGGTTCACAAATGTCAGATTTGGACATAGAAATTAAAAATTTGGCTTGATTGGGAGCACACGAACTATCATCTCAAGTAAAATCGATCCCAACTCAGCAAAATGGTAGGTCTTATCACAGGGTATTTTAAATTTGGTAACCATGCAATCAGACTTAGAATACCGCACAATGGCTACAGCAGACGATGTCAAGATGAGGTAGAAGAGGCACCAACTAAAAATCTTCGTTTCCTCGACAATTGGATCTTCGCTCCGGAATGACCCGATTCTCAATCGGACAAAGATTGTCAACTCAGTCGCAGCCAATGTGTTACAACAACAAATGCAGTCTTTTATGGCACTGTCCACAGGAGACAGTGTTCGATAATCGGTACATAGATCTTTGTGTCTTACTTCAGAGTTTTCTGGAATTAAACTAGTGTGATGAACCAAACCTATAAAGTAGGACTGACCTGTAGCTATCCGATTATAAGACTCTCCTCATTCTGAATAATAAGCCCCCGGGCTGTTTGTTTCCTTCCCTGTACATAAAGCATGCAAACGGGAAATAAAGTTAGTTTGTTTGTTAGTTGGTTAGTTAGTAGTTAGTTAGTTAGTTAGTTAGTTAGTAGTTAGTTAGTTAGTTAGTTAGTTAGTAGTTAGTTAGTTAGTTAGTTAGTTAGTTAGTTAGTTAGTTAGTTAGTTAGTTAGTTAGTAGTTAGTTAGTTAGTTAGTTAGTTAGTTAGTTAGTTAGTAGTTAGTTAGTTAGTTAGTTAGTTAGTTAGTTAGTTAGTTAGTTAGTAGTTAGTTAGTTAGTTAGTTAGTTAGTTAGTTAGTTAGTTAGTTAGTTAGTTAGTTAGTTAGTTAGTTAGTTAGTTAGTTAGTTAGTTAGTTAGTTAGTTAGTAGTTAGTTAGTTAGTTAGTTAGTTAGTTAGTTAGTTAGTTAGTTAGTTAGTTAGTTAGTAGTTAGTTAGTTAGTTAGTTAGTTAGTTAGTTAGTTAGTTAGTTAGTTAGTTAGTTAGTTAGTTAGTTAGTTAGTTAGTTAGTTAGTAGTTAGTTAGTTAGTTAGTTAGTTAGTTAGTTAGTTAGTTAGTTAGTTAGTTAGTTAGTTAGTTAGTTAGTTAGTTAGTTAGTTAGTTAGTAGTTAGTTAGTTAGTTAGTTAGTTAGTTAGTTAGTTAGTTAGTTAGTTAGTTAGTTAGTTAGTTAGTTAGTTAGTTAGTTAGTTAGTTAGTTAGTTAGTTAGTTAGTTAGTTAGTTAGTTAGTTAGTTAGTTAGTTAGTTAGTTAGTTAGTTAGTTAGTTAGTTAGTTAGTTAGTTAGTTAGTAGTTAGTTAGTTAGTTAGTTAGTTAGTTAGTTAGTAGTTAGTTAGTTAGTTAGTTAGTTAGTTAGTTAGTTAGTTAGTTAGTTAGTTAGTAGTTAGTTAGTTAGTTAGTTAGTTAGTTAGTTAGTAGTTAGTTAGTTAGTTAGTTAGTTAGTAGTTAGTTAGTTAGTTAGTAGTTAGTTAGTTAGTTAGTTAGTTATACAAATTACAATAAATTAATTGCCTACAATAAAAAAACAAAACTTTCTTCTTAATGATAAACAAATAAATACTAAATTTACAGCCTATATGTATTTGCAGATTGTTTTTTATACAATTTATTTATAATATTTTCTTTTATCAATTTGAAAAAGAACAAACTCCCCATTATCTAAAAAATCCCCATTTAAGCACACAAAAAAGCAACACTGTTTATTTACTTACTGTTTGCACAACTGTTACTCAGTTCTATAAAAACAAAATTTTAACTGTGTACTTTCTTAGTAGTTTGACGTTTGTCGTTGATTAGAGTTGAACTAACGTGAAATTAAGGAAAAATAAAAGAGCAGCAACAACAACAAATATACACTCGCACAAAAAGAAAACGAAAAGAAAGAAAATAAAATTTTATTAGTAGAGAGATTGCTGGTGGTTTTTATTATAAAGGAATTTTACTTGTTATTAACAAAATAATAATACAAAACAAAAGAAGAGATTCATTTTAAAAAGTGATAAAAGAAGTTCCCTATAAATAACAGAAAGAAGTAAAATAAAAGTGAAAAGCTGTATAAATAAAAGCAGAAAGAATTATTTTTGTTACACACTCTGGCATTTAGTGATTTTCTTGATGGTCTCTTAATTATGCTGGTATTATGAAAAAGAAACAAGTGTTACTCTTTTAAAAAATAAGAAAAACAAATAATTTTTAAATTTATTTCGGTTTAAACAAAGGCATTAAATATTTTGATTGTTAAAGAACAAAAAAAAAGTACGCATTTTTGCAAAATACATAAAGAACTGCCAACGTCTTCAATTCAATAAAATAATAATCAACGTTAAATACAACAACAAAACAACATCAGCTACAACAAGAAGAAAATTGCAACAAGAAACAACAAACAACAAAGTGTTCTTAATTAACAACTTCAAAAAAAGAAAATAAATTATTAAAAAACCCTTAAAAGTAAGTTTTAATGCAAATTCATTTTGTTTTATTGATTAAAAATTCTTTGTGTATTATTAAATTTTTTTATAAAAATAACTCTGTTTTTATCATTTCTAACAAATCTATTCTAATTGTTAATATGTACAATTCATTCGTGTCAAAATTTACACACATACAACACAATTTCAATAACAGGTCGGTGTTGCCATGGTTTTGGGAAAAAAATGTTTGTGCTAAATCTTTTTACAAGCAGGATATTTGTGGGAAATGGAAAGAAATTATTGAGAGGAGCTAAAGAATAATATTTATAAGTTATAAAAAAACTATAATTACAAAATTTACAAAAGCATTTTCTATACATAATAGAGAATTTAAAGAATGTTTTCTTTAATTTTGATAATTTTCGAATAGAACATTTAACGAAAATTTTTCTTTAACAAATATTTTATACAAAAATTTTATGAAGAGGAATTTTCAAAATAAATAGAAAAATTAAAAAAAAACAAATTATGTAATTCAAAATTTCTAAAAAAAACTGTAAATTTTGTAAAAGAGGAAATTTGCAAAAAATAGAAAATTTACAAATTCTATACAGAAAAATTACTATTCTATACAGAATAAAAAATTTATCGAATATTTTCGTTAATTTAAACAAAAAATTATAATTTTCGAATGAATATTTAATGAAAACTTTTCTATAACAAACATTTTATATAAAAATGTTAATATTTTTTTAAAGAAGTGATAAGATAATTCAACAATAATTTTCTAGAGATACCAAAATTCTATATAAACAGAAAATTTAACGAAATTTTTCCAAAAGTACAAAAATAAAATTTAACAAATATCTTCGAATAGAAAATTTTAAGAAAATTCATTTATAAAAAAAGTTAAAGAATCATTTTGTAAATTGAAATTTCATAGAATTTAGTATAAATTTTATAAATATTTTCTAAAAAAATAAATTTTAACAAAAAATTTTAAGAAAATTTATTTATAAAAAAATTAACGAATCATTTTATAAATTGAAAATTCACAGAATTTAGTATAAATATGATATTTAATAAATTATTTCTATAAAAAAAAATTTTAACAAAAATTTTCTATTTATAAAACTATAAGAAAATTCAACGAAAATTTTCTATAATTAAAAAAAGTAACAAAAAAATTTTATAAAATTAAAATTAACAAATATTTTCCTCAAGTTAAAAATTAACTTTAAAATTTAATTAACATTTTCTGTAAATTTAACAATAATTTTTTATAAATTATAAAATGTTCATTTGTTTTTGTAAATGTTTGGAAAGTTTTCTATTTACTTCAACGGACAATATCTCGGCAAATATAAGAAATTTTGGTTAGTGTAGTCTGTCAGACCGGAGGTTGTGGGTTCGTTTCATACCAGAAACACTGGTAAAAGAGCATACAATGGGTATAATGGAAGAATATTTGTATTTTTTCGGATTTAATGTAATATGCATCCTCTTTTTTAACTAACTATGAAAAAATTATGACAAATTATGTCCCTTATTTTGTAAAACATTTCACCTTACGTTGAAATTATCTTCAGACAAATTTTTGAAAATACAAAAACAATTTATATAAAAAATGCAGTGAAGGGAAGGGATTTACATAATTAATGTCTACAGATTGGACTTCGATCAAATATCTAATTCAAATCATCATTTAAGTTCGGTTCGTTTCTCGTTTCGTTTCCCACCAGAGACTCTATAGGAAACTATGGGAAAATTATGACAAACCTTACGTTGAAATTATTTTCATAAACATTTTTGGAAATACAAAAACAATTTATATAAAAAAGTCAAGTGAGGGGAAGGGATTTATTCAATTAATGTCGACAGATTGGATTTTTTGAAATCTTCATTTAAGTTCTGAATTTATTTTAAAGCTAAGTATACAAGGTTGTCAGATCTTACAACGTTGGCAGCAAATGTCAAACAATCGTGTGAACCTACAACGTTATCAGAAGGTAAAAATTGTAACTTGACACGGTGTTAGACAGTTTATGAACAATTTTCTGCCAACATTGTAAGATCTTAAGTGTGAAATTGTGTATTTAAAATTTTTTAAATAAATTTATATTGTGGTAAAGTCAATATGTTTCAGAAATTTTGATTGCCTAACAATGTTTTTTGTTTAAAATTAAAACATAATTTTAAATAGAACTTTAATATTAAACTAAAATACCAAACCTTTTGGGATTTATAATAAATCAACAAAATGGCAACACTATTAACATTTATAATATTCATCTTCTTATGTTTTTGCTTCCGTTCACTGTTGCCAACTTTTTTCCCAAAAATATCGCTAAAGTCGACTGAAAAATAGCTAGAAAATAGCTAAATTCAAGACATTTTGAAAAATTTAGCGATAAATCGTCAAAATAATATTTATTATATGATTCTGAAAAGAAATAGCTAAAAAAACTAGCTAAATTTTTCAGATTTTTTATATTATTCTAAAAAGTCAGCGATTTATCGCTAAAATCTATATACATACGTAGGAATGGGATAGTGATACAAACACATCTTATAACAAACACATAAGAGAATCTTTTTTTATGTTAAATATTTTCACTTTGGGTTAGGAGAAATGTCAAGTTGAAGTTAATTTCGATATGCGACCCTATACAGATTGCTTTAAAAATGTAAAGATAAATTGAATTTCGAAATGCTGGCCATTATGGATCGATCCTTTATTTTCGGCATAAGAGTATTATTTATTTTTCCATTACAATACAATTACAAATTATATTCTAACCTAATTTACCGAGCAGGGTGACGATAACCATACGACCGTTGTAGTGTAGCAGACCAGGATCTCTGCTGGGAATCGAACCCACAACCCCCAGACTGACAGGCTAGCACACTACCAACTAGCCTACCGGGGCACCCAAGATTATTATTATATACTCTTTTGTGGGAAGTTTATCTACAATATCGATATGCGGCCCTATACGCCTTAGAAATGTGGTAAATTCTTAGGACTTTATGGATCGATCCTTTCGTCACTTATTTCCAATGTTCACTAATTTTTAGAATTATGGTAAATTTTATTATCATATCACTCATTTACTAAAAGACTAGAATAATTAAATATTCGTTTTTTAATTGAGTACAACAAAATATACCCCTTTTAAAGTTTTTCGTATAATTTTACCTGTACGCACAAATATTTGCTGCTAATTATGTTCTTCAGAACATTCAAAATAATACACACAGCAAAAACTCAAATAATTTACATTGAATGCATATTTTTATATACATACATACATATATGTAAATATCGTCATTCGTAGCAACTTTTAAGCGATATTATCAAAATATAAATGAATAAAAAATGCCTTAAAATCTAAAGAAAAATCGCTAGATTTCCCGCTAATAGCTAAATCATATTTTTCCCCGCAAAATGGGATTAAAAATCGCTAGATTTGACGAGAAAATAGCTAAATTGGCAACAGTGCTTCCGTTCTCCATAGGAAATGTCAAATGAGCACAAAACATACTCTCTCTCACTCTTTCTTGTTTCACATTCTCTTATTACAAAGAAAAATTAACAAATTGCTTATTTTCTTTAAAATAAATTGCGAAATTTTTACTTGCGAGTTACTTATTACATACTTTATTTAATGAAAATTATAGAAAAACTGTTAAAATATAATTTTGATTGAATGTTTTTTAAAAATTTTATTCAATTACCATCATAATTATCATGCATGTCTAACGTATTTTGTGGTTTGTGTTTTTTTTTGTTTATTTACATTTTGTTTCTTTTTAATAGGAAGCTGAATAACTTTGTTTTTTTTTTTTTTGTTAAATTTGCTAATAATTTGCATATTAATTTGTTAAATTTTTTAAACACGTTTTAGACAAATTTTAATGTTCAGCCATGCGTAAAATATTTAAATATTATTTTGGTTAGACAAAGAGAAAATTATTTAATTTTCTATCAATAGCAAGTTAATAAAAAAGTGTATTTCACAGCTGTTACTTTTCATAATTATATTTCAGACAAATATTACTAGTAGAATATTATAAAATTGTTGATTAATAATATATTGGAAAAATTTAATAATTCTGTTTAAAATATTTAGTGCAGTTTCCAAGTATAACTGTAATTTAAGAAAATTTTATATTTTAAATTTATTTAACGGCCCTTGTCTTCTCACCTTCGTGTTTTTACATTAGTAATTTACACATTTTATTTTAGAAATAAAAATAATAATGTTTTCTGATTTACAATTTGATATCAGTTACATTTATTTATTTTATTGTTTTCTTATTTTCATTACTAATGACCTTCATTTTTGAACAATTGTGTTTATATTTTACTTATATTACAATTGGAAGTTTCTATATTTTTATGAAATTATTAATAAAGATATTTAACGCGTTTTTTTCTACTCATATTCTTTTACTAGTTATCTTCAGTTGTTTCAAGTTAATATTTTTTATCTTTAACTGAACGAGAACTGAACTATAATTAAACTAGAACTGAACTAGAACTGAACCAGAACTAAATTAGAACTGAACTAGAACTGAACTAGAACTGAACTAGATCTGAACTAGAACTAACTAGAACTGAACTAGAACTAAACTAGAACAGAACTACAACTGAACTAGAACTGAACTAGAATTGAACTAGAACTGAACTAGAACTGAACTAGAACTGAACTAGAACTGAACTAGAACTGAACTAGAACTGAACTAGAACTGAACTAGAACTGAACTAGAACTGAACTGAACTAGAACTGAACTACAACTGAACTACAACTGAACTACAACGAACTAGAACTGAACTAGAACTGAACTAGAACTGAACTAGAACTGAACTAGAACTGAACTAGAACTGAACTAGAACTGAACTAGAACTGAACTAGAACTGAACTAGAACTGAACTAGAACTGAACTAGAACTGAACTAGAACTGACTAGAACTGAACTAGAACTGAACTAGAACTGAAACTAGACTGAACTGAACTGACAAAATGTTCGAATT